TCCGGCTCCCGCACACCGCCCCCGTCCCCCCGGGCGCACCCCGCCGGGCCGGGCCGGGCCGGGCCGAGGGCTCCCGCGGGCTGCTGCCGGGGAAAGGTGCGATGGAGCCGCTGCACCCACCGGGCTCCCGGTGGTACCGCCTGCACCCACCGCACACCCCCCTGCCCCACACGGCGCACCGTGCACGTGTGTAGGCACACACGCGTTCATCCGCGTTGCGTACGTGCACACCTACTTGCACGCAGACCCGGTGTGCTCACATACACACACAGAGACAGATGGAACGCACGCTGCCCGCATGCACACCGCACACGCATCCATACGGCGGCATCTGGTTTGCACGCACACCCCCGTGTACGCTCACACACAGGCACACACACGTACACGCACTGCGTGTGGGCACACCCAAGCGCATGTGGCCTTCACACAAAAGCATTCGCACACAAGGTGCACAGTTACACATGCATGTCCTGCTTGCACACACACCCACCAGTGTGCACACACTCTCATACACTGCATGCACGTACAGGAGTGTGCACACACGGCCTACACCCCACACACACTCGCATCCACAGGTGCTGCACGCACACACACTGCTGTGCATGCACACGGGCATTCCCATGCATGTGTACACACACATTCACATTCAGACACACGTGTGACTCCCCTGTGCGCGCGCTTGCAGGGCTCGCACCCCAGCTCGGAGCCACCAATGCCGCTGGCAGAGCCGGCAGCAGCCGGGCCCTCTCCCCCTGGGCTGCCCCAGCGCCTGCCCCCCACATCTGCCGAGCCCCCCATCCCCTCACCTCCACTTGGTGCGCCGGTTCTGGAACCAGGTCTTCACCTGGGCGTCCGTCATCTTGAGGGCCTTGGCCAGGGCAGCACGCTCGGCCGAGGCCAGGTATTTTTGCCGGTGGAAGCGCTTCTCCAGCTCGCAGATCTGCAGGCGGGTGAAGGAGGTGCGCGGCTTCTTCTTCTTGGGAGGCGTGCGGTTCTGGTAGGGGTGACCTATACGGCGTGTTACAGTGAAGGGTGAGAGGGCCACTGGGGGGGACACGGGAGGAGGGGGGATGAGAGGCAAAGAAGCAAGCAGCGACAGATCAGCAGAGGGGCTCCGGCTCCCGGGCGCTGGGATGGGGACCCCCCCGCTGCGAAGCCGCCGCTTCCCCGCCGACATCCGCGCACGGGCTGCAAAAACGCGGCGGCGTCCCCGGCGCCTTCCTCGGGGGCTGCCGGGGGGGCACCGGCCGGGCACCGTTCGCCTTTGGCGGCGGGGAAGGCGGCCGCTTGCCCGGCGAAGTGCCGGGGGCGAGGGCGAGGGGGGCAATAGCGGCAGCCGGTCCTGGCGTCCGCGCTTCGTGTGAACGGGGCTCGGTTTAATTTCGTTTGGGAGCGGCGGTAAACCCGCCGTCCTCGGCCCCGCGTTTCGTACGCGGGAAATAACTTCCCGGGCCGGAAACGGGAGTTGCGATTCGTTGTTTTGTTTCTTTTTAGTATTATTGTTTATTTTTCTTTTTTTGTTTTTCCCCACAGGAACAAAAAATAATTGGGGAAAACTTGCGGCGTGTCTCAGCCGGGCCGGGCCAGGAAGGGGCTCCGTGCAATTCAGCCCGGTGCCTGCCAGGGGAACGGCCCGGTTGTTCGCCCGCGGCCGTGCCCCAGCCGAGCGCCATCGGGTCGAAATTAAACGTGAACTTGCAAAAATCGGGCCTCGATTTCCGCCCCCGGGAAGAGGAGCCGGTGCGGGCGCTGCAGGAGCGGGGGTCGATGTTTCCCCCGCCGCAATTTCGTTGCTTTTTTGTTTTTGTTTTTGTTTTTTAATTTATTTTCGTTGTTCGAGATTTTGCTTTGTTGGCGCCGAAGGACGAGCCCAGATACACCTGGAAACGGCGGCGGGTCCGAAAAGCGGCTCCAGCCTGAGTCCGGCTCTGCTCGGGGCTGTAAAAAGTCCCTTTTGGCGGGAGAAAGGCTGAGCCGAAACCCGCAGCCGGAGAAACGCAGCCCGGTTACGGTACGCACGGGAAAAACAGCCTTACGAGCGGCCGGCAACAGGCCGGCCTTCCCGGGCGGGCGAGGGCCGGGGCCGCCGGGCTCCCTTCCCGCCGGGCCGAGCTATGCCTCCGAAATAACCCTCTATTTTAAAGGAAACTTTCCGTGGGTGTTGGGTCGGGTGGCGGGGCCGCGGGGAGCAGGCAGCCGTGCCCGGGACTTGCGGGAAGTGTGTGGAGTTTGCCATCCCGTTTCCTCCCTGCCGGCCTTTCCCGGGCCGTATCCCGGGGAAAAAAAAAAAAGAGAGAGGAAAAGAAAAAAACAACAACAAAACCAAACGACCGCTAAAAAAAAAACAAACGAAGAAACAAACAAACAAAAAACCCAAAACACCCCTAAAATAAAAACTAAACCAAACCAATCCAGAACCAATGCATTTAGCGGGGACTGAATGCGCCTGATTTTCCACCCTTTCTTGCTTCTGGCCTCCGCCGGGACCGACTTCCCGGGGCGATCCGGGCCGCTCTCTGCAGCCGGGGCCGGATCTCGCTTTCCCCGGCGGGCAGCGGCTGCCGCGCCGAGGCCAGGCGGCGGGGAAGGGAGCGGGGCGGCGAGAGCAGGGAGGGAAGGGGGGGTCCCGGTGGCCCGACTCACCTGTGAACCTGTCTTTTGTGTACCGCCTGTTGCTCTCCATCCAGGGAAAGGTGAGCCCCGTGAGACTGTTCATGCCGTTCACCGCCGGCACGGCGGCGGAGAGGGGCTGGTGCACGCCGCCGGTCACCGGGCGATGGGCCGGGACGCGGATCACCCCCCCGGCCGAGCTCAAGGTGTTGCCGTTCATGCTCACCGCCATGTTCACGTTGTAGGAGCCGGGCAGGCCGCCCATGCTGCAGGAGGTGCCGGTGTAGGCGCCGGCCGCGCCGCCGCTCGCCCCGTAGCCACCCGTGACCGTGTTGTAGGCGCTGCCCACGATGCAGCCCAGCCCGTAGTCCGCCGAGTCCTGCAGCCGCGGGTGCGACACCATGCAGCTGCCCGGCTCCGACGTGTTGAGGATCTGGTCGATGCCGAAGCTGATGGGCTCGGCTTGGCCTTGGTGCAGGTGGTGAGCCCCGAGGTGCTCCATGCCGCCGCCCGGCCCCGGCAGCGGAGCCGCACGCAACGCCCCGGGGCACCGGGGCCGGACCTCCGCGCCGGGCCGGGCAGCACAGCCCCGCACCGCCCCGAAGCACGGCAAGGCCACGCAAGGGAGCCGCGCACAGCCGGGACGCGCCGGCTACGCGCTCGGTCCCATGGCAGGGCGCCCGCGCACCCCGAGACGCACCAGCAGAGCCACGCACGGCCGGGACGCGGCAGCCACACGCTCAGCCCGAAGACCCGACAGCAGAGCCATGCGCAACCGGGGCACGGGAGCCGAGCAACCCCGCAGCCCGGGACGCGACACCCGTGCCCGGCCGAGGCACGGGAGCCGCACACGCGAGGCGCAGCCGCTCCGCACTGACCCGCTGGACCCAACAGCCTCCGGCAGCAGAGAAGCGAGACCCACGCACGCCGGTCCCGCTCCGATGAGACCCGGTGCCCCCACGCCGCCGAGACCCAACCAAGACGCCGAGCCGGGAGCCACTCACCCGAGACACACACACACACGAAGGTGCCCCGGGGACCCCTCGCCGCCGCAGGCGGTGGGGAGCCGAGAGCCCCGCGGAGCGGAGCGCGGCCGCGGCGGAGTGCGAGTGCGAGCGCCCCGCTTGCCCATCAATCACGCTACCCAAGGCCTGCTGCTCCCGGGCCCTCACTCTCCATTGGCTGGATGCTGAAAAGAGCCGAGTGAATGACAGCAGAGAAGAGCACACGAGAAAAGGAGTTTCTTCT